AAATCCGTAACAATGGATACTGAGTACGCCCCGGGTTGAACTTAACTAAGTTAAGGTAAAAAGATGAATAACTTAGAGGCACATGGTTAGGTTAATAAATAAAATCAAATTCATCTAACCTAGAGTTGTAAAATGTTACAATTGGAAATAGTTCCTACCTGAAATAGTTTAACTATAGGGCAAGATGCAAAGAACAACTATAGTTAGATGAAATAAGGATCTAGGCCCAATATAGGATTTTGTTTAGAACAACCTAACAAACCAAGGATTGTAATTGGATTACAATTGGAAATAAGTTCCTACCTAATTAGTTTAACTATAGGGCAAGATGCAAAGCACAACTATAGTTAAATGTAAAATGGACCTTGGCCCACTAAAATTTTTCTTTAGGAGAAGTCTCGAATCAACAGGTTACGTACTTGAGGGTAGTTGATTTGTTAAAATAGTGGGAGAGTTATTAGTTAAAGACATAGCTAATTACTTAGATTCTTGATATTAACTATCTTGCAAATTATATGTAGATGTCTAATAACAACCATAACCTCACTCTTCGCTCAATCCTCGACAAAGATAAGTTAACCGGCTCTAACTTCTTAGACTGGCAAAGAAACCTCGTTATCGTTCTTCGACTCGAGAAGAAAGAATATGTGCTTGAACAAGCCATCCCACCTGTCCCAGCCGCCAATGCTTCTACAGCAATCAAGGATACTTATGAGAAGCATGTTGATGATGACAATCAAGTGGCATGTCTCATGTTGGCTACGATGACTTCTGACCTTCAGAAACATCACGAGAGTATGAAGGCGTACGATATGATCATACACCTAAGACAGCTCTACCAAGGACAAGCTAGGCATGAGAGATTCCAAATCTCCAAAGCTCTCTTTAGTTGCAAGTTGTCAGTTGGAAACCCCGTTGGTCCGCATGTTCTCAAGATGATTGGCTATGTCCAAACTCTTGAGAAATTGGGTTTCGAACTAAGGACTGAACTTGCAACTGATCTGATTCTGCAATCGTTGCCAGAGTTGTACAAGCAGTTTGTGGTTAATTATGAGATGCATGAACTCGATAAACCGCTGCCAGAACTTTTGAAGATGCTGCAAACTGCTGAAGAGAGCTTGATGAAAGGAAAGGGGAATTCTGTCCTTCTAGTTCAAGGAGGAAAAGGCAAGAAGAAGTTCAAGAAAGCAAAGAAGAATGGACCTAAAGGCAAGGGTAACACCAAACCAAAGTCAAATTCTTCTAAGCTCGAGCCTAAAGGTGGAGTGGCCAAAGATTCCATTTGTCATCACTGTGGTGAAGTTGGCCACTGGAAGAGGAATTGCAAGCAGTATTTGGCAACCAAGAAAAAGGGTGAAGCTTCTGCTTCAGGTACAATTTTTGTAATGACTTAAACTAATCTACAATCTCTTCAAAAGTATTCGATACTTATAGTATTGCAAACCGTTGCAGAAACTGAAGAGAAGTAGGAGTGTTGATCTTGAAGATGCAAGGGTTGCAGCTTTGTGGCGCACTAGTTTAAGTTTTAGTATTTGATCAGTTTTCAATTTCGAATTGATGTTTACTTATTGTTTTAAGTATTATTGGTTATTTCAATAAAGGACAAATTGTTGCTCCATTTATAGAAGTATTTCATATGATCAAATATTTTGCCTCACAAGCATATCGCAATACAACAACTATACCAAGGCTACAAAGTACAAATATTAATCAGTTAATAAGTTTGTCACAAAATTATGAATGAAGTGATAACCACTTAGAGATATAAGGATATCTTTATAAAGGTTAGAGCCAAGTACCCTTTCTATTTAAATTTTCGAAATTTAAACTTGCCATTAGCATTAATAAAGCACACTTAATAAAGATCAAGTGATATTAATGCCAAAGTTACATAATAGGAAACGCAAAAGTGATACGATCATGAAATTGACGTTCCCTCAAACGTTATCTAGATAACGTGACTAAAATAGTTAGTCTAATAAAGAGGATTAAGTAGCCTTGCCAAATACTACTCAACCTTAAGCACTAAAATAATCATTGTAGACTCTGAAAGGAAAGAGCACTTGGAAACTGTTCCAAAACGATTCCTTCGTTAAATAACAAGTAATGAAAGTAAGTCTCATATGAATGAAGACACTTTAAACACTTATTATGGACGAGTCTATCAAGGATAAAAGGAGGGTTTCAAATTATCTATAACCAGTTATAGCACTTATATGTTTAGGATAAAAGTCTTATTAAAGACTAGTGGGAGCACAATAAGTATGTTGCATATCATTGACAAAATAAATTAAAAACTTATCAGTCATGAATGCAAATAGTAGTTATGTGCTCAAGTCTAAAGAATCCATATAGATGGATCAAAGAAGTAGGAATAATCTAAGACCAGTACATATATGGAAGTTTTTGAAACTTGCATAAATCTCAGGGTAAAGCCTTTTTGGAGACTCACTCTCTAAAAGGACCGCATGGAAATCGTTCCATAGAGTACCATGAGATATGGACTTGATTTATTCTAAAGGAATATATTTTAAATATGTTCAAGCTGAGCTAAGAGTAATAGTCAACTTTGTAAAAGTTAACTTTTGATTCTTAAGAAGAGACAAAAGAGTATGTTTTTCTAAAATGGCTTAAGTGTGAATGTTACACACAAAATAGCTCGTTTAGAACAACCATAAGATAGGTTGAAATTAACAAAACATATATTGACAAGTACTGACATGGTGTCATACGCATATAAATAAGATAAATTTGCAACTTTGGAAGTAGCAAAGAGGAAGATTTTTTGGTTTTGATAGCTCCTCAAAAGGATAGCGTTGCTCCCAGCATAAGAAACCAATATGTCGTTGTACTGACAACGATAGGGTTACTACAGGAGCTAAAGAAGCTACACCTAGAAACCAAGACGTCATTAGATCTCACCACATTATACGAACGGTCGTAAAATGAAAGTATCAAAATTTGCAAGATAGAAAAGGATAACAATCTCTTAACCTATTGACCTAGGCTTTGGGAAAACCTATACACGAGGGTCACACTTCGTGCATGAGGCAAACATGGAAACCATAATTTCCCTTAGTGCTAGTGGGAGATTGTTGAATATAAGTGAGCCCTAGAGGCCAACTTATGATTCCATATCTATATTATATCAAGAACAATAGGTCCTAAAGATTGTTTAAGTAGTCTCGTGTGATTTAAACATAGCTTTAGTCCATAGAGTAGGCGCTCTAGTAACACGGATGAGAACTACGACTTTCTAATTATGAGGCTGTTATAAAGATAGAGGCTATGTCTAAAATATCCTTAGTCGAATATTATGACAATACGAACATCATAATATATCAAGACTAATACGTATGAGATGAGATAGTTGCGTCTCATAGGCTATAGATAAAGTGTTATCTGAATCTATACGTAGGCAACCATATTGGATATGTTGCTGGATTGACCCGCTATGAGAATAATATATGGGTTTGAGTTAAATTGTTAATATTATTCTCATGCGACAATTAGTATAACTATCCTTTGACTTGAAGTCATTACATTCTTTGGTAAGTTGAGTTGTATACTTTGAGACATGATTTATGCCATCTGAAATATTGGTGGATGTACAGTTATGTTTTGGGTATGCAATGAAACTTAAGAGAAGATGTGAATGACGTAGATAGAATTTATCCCTTCTTTGATGAAGTATAATATCTTAGGGCCCACTGATTGATGTGACTTGGAAAGTGCATGGCCATGCGCAAATAAACATGTTATTTGAATCCCACAAGTCAATTGAAGAATCAGTAAACCATCTATTTAACTTTAACAAGGTGACACACCCATACCTTGTGTTAAATCAAGATATTAGTGATAAAAGGATAAGGGTTATACAAATAGGATGTGTCGTTGAAGGAATTGCTCCAAGAGCTTTAATCTATAACTTGGGGGTGATAATGTGTTGCTAGATACCGCTTATCACTTGTAGTATTTAATCGATACTATGGTCAATTTTATAGATGCCTAGAATAGGGTCACACATATAGAACATATGAAAGTGTAGAATATTTAAGTGGAGTAAAGTTGTACTTTATTTATATGTTGTGTATATTATATTGTGTGACAATATGATTAGATACACAAACACATATATAAATAAATATTTATATATGGACATTTTAATTATATGATAATTAAGTTTGTCAAATATATGTAATAATAATAAAGTATATATATATTCGGATATATATATATATGAATAATAAATTGTTTATTATTTTAGAAATTTCCTAAGTAGAATAGGAATGACATTTGATTTCCTTCCTAAACTCTAAAAGGTACATTCCTATTAGGAATAGGAATGGGGATTATGCTCCTTATAAATAGGAGATCATCTCACCCCTTTTTAGACAAGGAATTTTCGGCCCTACCATAGTTTTAGGAGAGAAAAATTTGTTTTGTTCTCTTAATACTTTACACCAAATATTTTATATTTTAGAAATATTCTAGAGAAAAATTACTAGCATAATTTTCTCTAGAACACTCTTCGTTGTTCGTGTGTCTCAACTGGAGGTCATATACTTTTGTGGCTAGCTCTTGGATCAATCCATCAACCAACACATATCGTTGCTTGTTCGTCAAGAAAGGTATATTTCTAAACAATAACTTATAATAATCATAAGAGGTCCTGGGTGGATCTACATTTGGACGTCAAAATTTTTATATTTCCGCTGCCCTATCCAAGCGTAGAATCCAACAGTGGTATCGGAGCCGACTTATGAGAATTATAAGTTTTGTAGATCTAATTGCCGTTAGGGTTTTTTATCATTGATAAAATAAAATATATGTGTATATATTTTCGAAAATTATCCAAAATTCAAGAAAGTTCCAAAATATGATTCT